AGTTCAAAATATGCACTCACAAGAAGATATGAATTTTGACATTATAGGTCATTTTGGAAAGTCAACAAAAACACCTTTTGGGTCAAAGCTTCATACATGAGCATGGAAGACTCAATTGAGATGAGATCAAAAGGGTTTCTTAGAGGACATCCTAAGCTTTCTAAAAAGTCCAAGAACACCTCTCTAGAGTCAAAATTGAGAATGAATGAAAACTAGAGAATGAGGGTTACACAAGAGTATAAATACTATATGCTAGTAAAGTAAAAAACTACCCTTACAAAGATATAATAAACCAATATAATAATAATAATTAACACCTCCCCTCAAACTCAAGATGCATTAGTAGTAAGCATCGAGAGTTTGTCAATCAAAAAATGAAAATATTTAATAGAATGTGTCTTCATAAACAAATCAGCAACTTGTAAAGTGGAGGAGACAAACGGTAGAGTAATTGTCCCATGCTGAAGATGATGACGAGTGAAGTGACAATCAATATCAATGTGTTTGGTACGTTCATGAAAGACCGAGTTGTGGGAAATTTGAATGGCACTCTTGTTATCATAATACACGGGAGTTGGTTCAGAAAGAATGATACCCATATCAAAAAGTAACCAACGTAACTAAACTATTTCAGTAATGGTGGATGCCATAGCACGATACTCAGCTTCTGTAGAAGAATGAGAGACAATATCTTGTTTCTTACTCTTCCAAGAAATAAGAGAGTATCCAAGAAAGATACAAAATCATGTGGTAGACTTACGATCTATGGGGTCACCAGCCCGATCAGCATCAGAATAAGCACGTAGTTCCAATGAGGACGATGAGTGAAAAAGAAGGCTCTGAAACTGGGTTCCCCAAAGATAACGACATATGTGAAGAACGACTGCCCAATGTAATGTAGTAGGAGAGACAACAAATTGGCTAATAACATGAACGGCATAATAAATATCAGATCTAAAAATTGTAAGCTACACCAGGCTGCCAACCAAAGTACGATATAATGTAGGATCTGATAGAGGAACAACATCAGATGGAGCATACTTCACATTTAACTCAAAAGGACTATCCACTACTCTAGTGTCAGAAAGGTGAATCTGTTCAAGAATGTTTGCAATATACTTGGATTGAGAGAGAAGATAGCCTTTAGGAGAGTAAGCAACTTCAATGCCCAAGAAGTAATGAAGAGTGTTTAAGTCCTTCATCTCAAACTGTTTGGCTAACTGTAATTTTAAATCATTAATTTCATCCATATTATCACCTGTAATAATCATATCATCAACATATAATGAGAGTATTATACGACCATAATAAGTGGTCTTGACAAAAAAGGCATAATCATGATCACTAGAGCGAAAGCCAATAGATGTAATCACAGTGATGAACTTCTCAAATCAAGCTCGTGGAGCTTGTTTCAGACCATATAATGTCTTCTTCAACTAACACACTTTCCCTTAATTATGAGAAACATCTTATGGGGGTACCATACAAACTTCCTCTTGAAGATCACCATTAAGAAATGCATTGTTAACATCCATTTGAAAAATATGCTACTAATGAACAGATGCAACTGCAATAAGAGTGCAAATAGTAGTCATCTTAGAAATAGGAGCAAAAGTTTCTTCATAATCCATACCATATTATTGAGAGAATCCCTTAGCAATAAGACGTGCTTTTTAGCGCTCAACTGATCCATTTGACTTAGTTTTGATCTTGTATATCCACAGAGGCCCAATAGCACATTTTCTAGGAGGAAGAGGTACTAATACCCAAGTATCTGTTTTATGCAAAGCAGAAAGTTCTTCTACCATAGCCTGCTGCCAAAGAGGGTCAATAATAGCCTCTTTATAAGAAGAGGGCTCAGACAAACTATGGATAGAGGTTAGAAAAGAAGCAAAAGAAGAAGAGTAAGTGGAATAGACAAAATCAGGCAATTGAGTAAACTTACGGTCACAAGAGGGATAACGGGGAGGAGGACGATCAACAGTCGTATAAGGTTCTTGGGTAGCTGTGGGGAAAAGAGGGATGTTAGTATCTGGAGTATCAATAGTATCAGTCCTACAATTCTCAAAACTACAATCACTAGAAATATTATCATTATGATCAAAAGGATCGATGTGAGTGAGTTTTGAATGGTTAGTAATATAAGAATTAGAAGAAAGAGAGTAAAAAAGGAATGTGTTCAAGAAAAACAACATGACGAGAATCATACAATTTCCTTGCACCAAGATCATAACAATGATAACCCTTGACCATTCCCATAACCAAGAAAAACATATATAGTAGAACGAGAAGACAACTTACTACGTTCTACTTGGGGGCGAAGAACAAAACAAGTAGAACCAAACACTTTCAAAGATGAATAATCAGGGATAGAGTTATACAATTTTTCAAAGGGAGACAAACTTGATGTGACAGACGATGGGATTCTATTAATAACATGAACAGCAGTAAGAACTACTTCACCCTAAAATTCACTATGAACCGAAGCAGACAAAAAAAGGGAGCGAGAAGTCTCAATAATGTGTCGGTGTTTCCTTTCAGCAACTCTATTTTGTTGAGGTGTATCAATACAAACTGTTTGATGAATTGTACCATCAAAAGCAAGCAATTCAGAAATTTTATTAGAGGTATATTCACCACCTAAATCACAACGGAAACACTTTATAACAATATTATGTTGAGTCTTAACCATAGCACGAAACATACAATAAATGTCAAAAAATTCTGAGCGATTTTTCATAAGATAAACCCAACAATAACGAGTATAGTCATCAATAAACGAAACATAATATCTAGATTCACCCTTAGTAAGAAGCGGTGATGGACCTCATACATCAGAGTGAACTAAGTCAAAAGGTGCATTTAAAATGGAAACACTTTTACTAAACGGTAAAGCTGAAAATTTAGCAAGTTTACAACCACAAAAATCAGAGATATCACCGGTTTGTAACTTTCCTAAAGCTCCAGTAGAAGCCAAATACTTTAATCTAGAAGCAGACACGTGTCCAAGACGGTAATGTCATAAATAAAAACTAGAAGACGAAAAATTCAAACGAAAAGAGGATAATAAATCAGTTGTGAAAGTTGAGGTTGAGGCTGCAGTATATGGGACTCTTAACCCATCCAAAACATAAAGTTTCCCTTGTCTACGGCCCGTCCCAATCAGTCTCCCGGAATGAGGATCCTGCACACAACAAGAAGTGGAAGAAAACATAATTGAGTAACCAGAATCACACAATTGACTAATAGAAATAAGATTCAAAGTGAGGTTAGGAATATAATAAACATCAGAAAATGACAAATTAGGTTAACAGACATAACCAATGCCTGCTAATAGCATAGGGGTGCCATCAGCAGTCATAATCGACATAGATGATGCAACATTCAAAGACACAAATGATTTATCCTCATATGACATATGGTGCGATGCTCCAGCATCTAGAATCCAGATGGAAGGAGATATACCTGAAAAATCAGAAGAGTTCAAACCTTTAGTAGGGGAGGCATACATGACACATGACTGAGTGGCAAGAAGCTTTTGAATCTGCTCTGCAATATCAGATATTTGAGAAATAGTCTCAGATGGATATGCATGATCAGAACCAGAACCAATTGTAGTAGGAGCAGCAACAACATTGGATGATGGACTCTTGAATTTTTTCTTATTTGCTTTCAACAATCTGGGACATTTGCTTTCCAATGACTTTTCTCCTTACAAAAAGCACATTCATCAACACCAAGCCCAACCCTACCTTGAGGTTTTCCTTTGTAAAATGGAGTAGTAAAAACAGACGGAAGAGTGGATAGAACTCCTTTATCTGGAATCAAATTTGAGTGGGACTTGAGTCTAATTTCGTCTGCCAACAATTTATTAAAAACGGAATCAACATTGGGGAGAAGATTACGATGCAGAATACCCTCACGAAGTCCCTCAAAATCATCCTTAAGGGCCATCGAAAATTGAACCAAACGTTGCTCTTCTCTTTGATCAGTGTAAGCTTTGACAATTTTCAATTCAGTCGATTCCATTAGAGCCAATTGATCCCATAAATTATTTGTAGTTAAATAGAATTTCTGAATGGTCATATTATTCTGTTTGAGAGCTCTAATATCACTCTCCAGCTGGTACCGTTTTACAAAGTTAAATTAAGCATACAAATGTTTCAAATGGTTCCAAATCTCCTTAGCAGTATCATATTTTACAAGTTGCACACCTATTGACTGAGGAACAGAATTATTGATCCAAGGATCTTAGAATTACTAACATCTCATGTTTCCAACTCTTTTGTATATTTTACTGCATCCGTTTTATTTGTAAGTTTAACAGAGGTTCCATCAACATAAGTCCACATCCTTTTTCCTTTCAAAAAGTTCTTCATTACATAACTCTAATAAGAATAATTTTCTCTATTTAATCGGACACTGATAGACTGAAAAGAGAAACAATGAATCTCTTCAAAACCTACAACTTGAGTCTCTTCAATGAAATACTTGAGTTTCTTTTATTACAAATTGGGCTAGTCACTGCAGTTTCTTCCATATCATTTCAATGTTTTCAACATTCAGATTAGCTTTTGCAAGAATTTGTTTTTAGCAATCTAATTAAGGTCAAGTAAAGTGTATTTTTTGGTTAAATAGTTGTGATTATTGGAATGAAGTTGACTAATAAATAGTTGTGATTATTGGAATGAAGTTGACTAATAAATAGTTGTCTACACTATTTTTCTATTGTGTGGGGGGACAGATACAACTCTTTGTAATTTTGGCTGCTATATTTTTGTTTTTTATATATTACTACTTGCAGAGAAAATGTAGTTGTGAATGTTATTTTAAACCATGAGTTGTAAACTTGTAATCAAAGAAGACTTCAAAGGTTAGCTTGTGAAGAAAAATATATACTTCTCATTATGCCAAACCAAAACTAGTTTTCACTTCCACTATCAGTCTCAAAAAGCAATAAATACACATGTAATGCACAATAGATAACAAAAAAAAAAAAGTCAAATTTTAGCATTTGAAAGTGTTGGAGTCAATTTGAAGCTGACATCACCATAAGGCTCCTCTTGGTATACATCAATAAGATCATGAGTCTTTAACACCTGCAATTCAACAGAAACCGGATCAAAACCGTAATTCCACAAGCCACAAATATTCTAATTCTTTGAACATAATTGAATTTCATTTCAATGGATAGAAGAAATGTCATGAAACTAACCAAAACTTCAAAGAACATTCGAGCAGCAATCTTTCTAGTTTTTCCTTCCAACATCTTGTTCAAGCTAAAATCTTCAGCAGGCTGCTCCGGAATTGGAGTACATGGAGAATAATCTCTTAAATATTTAGCTAGACCCCTGGAATTAAACAAGTGAAAAACAATAGCCATATTACAATACTAGAAAAGCATTCTGAAAAACAAAGTTGACATAAACAGAGTAGCGGCGCAGTTTATTGCCTGCTTGCCTTCTATTTCTGTATTTGCATGAAGATTTAAATATAATATAAATTAATTTATGAAAAAGTTGACATAAACAAAGTATGCGAGACCCCAAAACAAATATATTCTACAATAGAAATAAATAGATAAGTACCTAGCCCTTCCGGTCAATGAGCCAATACTTGTTGTGCTTGTGCTTTGTGAGCCTGTCATCAAAAAATTTACGCCAACTATAATATTAAAACCGCATTAAGAAAATACTGTCTTGAATCAAATACCAGAAGACATGAAAATAGAACCTACTGGCAGTAGCCGGTGTGTTGTTCTCTTCTTCAAGAAACGAAAACTCCTACAAGAATAAGGTTGATAAGATATTAGCTTACATTAAGTTTCTATGCTCAGACTAAACATCCTAACAAGAATAAAAGTTTTATGCTGAAAGGGAATGTAAAAGGATAAAGAAACATTAAACCATACTCCTTTTTCAGCAGAATCGTTCAGTGTATTAGTATCGAGAAAATCTGTCATGTCGTAGTTCTGAAATGTGCTATCTTGATAAGTGCTAGGGGATCCAATTTCGGATATACGAGCACGAGGTGAAGTCGCACCATATGGCCTCTCCGATGCCTCAGAAACTGAAGTAGGTGTCGCACCATCTCCTTTAACAGGACTCTTGTTAGTACCATCAATAATGGGTTCAGTGTCTATATTCTGAGAAGGAGCATTAACAATGTGACGGCCGATTTCAGTTTCCTGTGCGTCTATTGGCGTATTAATGATAACCTCAGGTGCATTATCAATAATCTCAGGTGCATTATCAATAATCTCAGGTGCATCTGTCATTGGCTCATCAACAATTTGGTTAATTGGAGGAGTACTAGTACTACTATCCATATGATCTTCTTCCTCAGAGATGACCAAGTGGGGTTTTGAACATATATATTCCCTATTGTGTATGTTTATAAGTTCATTGCATACTCCTGAAAAAGAAGACGCAAATTTTCATAATTGTGATAAGTTCTAAAATCTGCAAAATTGAACAATAAAGAACAACCTACCTCTAAATAAAGGTTGGTCAAAAATATTCTCTTTTAATCGTTTGTTTTTCAGCTTCCATGTATCCAGAGAGGAAGGACCGTCTTTTCTCTTCCGCAATATATTGTGAGTATTATTAAGGTTTTCCCTCATGAATCTACAGAGGCATCCAGTATGAGCAACAAGCATAACCAGAGATTTCTACAAATAACTATATGTCACAGGACAAGTAGTTTAATCAAACAATTAAATAATTACCTATTTGTTAACACGATGGGATCATCGAAGAATTGTTTTCTCTTCCTTCCTCTTTGTTGCTTCTGATCCTGCACCTGCTCTATTTGAGGGCTAGGAGGAACCCTAACCTGTAGAGAACCTTGCCCTATAGTTGGTTCTGAATTTTTCCCTAAGATTGAATGAGAAAAATCAGTTTTGAAATTCTAGGTTTCATTTGTAAATGTAAGAGAGAAGTGAGCATTTACCTCCATAAACTTGTTCATCTGAAGGACCATCTTGAGAAGCAACTGGAGTTGATGGACCAGCTTGTCGAATTGATGAGGGTTCAACACAGGTCTCATCAACCATTTCAGGAATCGGATCCTTTTCATTCATATTTTGGTTGAGATCCTTATTGAGGTCGGTATCATTATACCCAGAGTTTTGTAGATTTCCAATAGCATCATAATCATGAGTGGTAGCATGTTCTGTAATGGGATCACGGATAGTATTATCCACTGGTATTGTCTCTTCTGTAATGGGGTCCACAAAGCTATGTATGTTACCATCACCACTATGATCCGTAGCATGTGACTCTGTATGTAAACTTGGACCAACATCTTGAAAATCTGCTCTGTTTGTCAATGGAGATTGACGAATAATGCTACAAGGACAAACAGTTTATTATTCAGTCGGTTCATATGGCAAAAAAAATTATAACCCAATAAAGCTTACTCTTCCTCTATTGGTCTTGCATCAGAATCTGGAAGAAGTTGTGTGTTGGGAGAACTAAATGTTGTGTCCTAAAAATACAAGAAAACAAGTAGATGAAATAAATTTGTAAGTCAAGAAAAAACATTAATTCAAATTAAAAGCTCAAGTTCTACATAGATGAAAGGAATGAAAAGGAAAGGAAAAAAACATTCACCTCATCGAAACGTATAGTCACGTAATTCTCCAGTACAGTAGGATTTTGATCTGCACATAAAAAAGCATTTAAATATTTTTAACTTTCATATGTTGCTAAAAGAATATATAAATAAAACAATGCATCTGCTTCAATAACCTGCAAGAGTAATATCTTCTAGACTCTTCATGTGATGATCCTCATACCCATTAAAATCCATTTCATTGCTCAAGCTAAGCGCATCTAGCTCAAAAGTGGATGGCATGGTGATAGTATGAACAGGTGCTTGCATTCCATCCTCAGGTAAATTATGATTTGATACGGCAGCAAATACTTTGTATAAAACAGTTCGAACAATATTGCAATCGTTGAGAAGATAATCAACCTTCTTCGAATAAATACGAACAACACCTAAGAGTAGGTGAGCTGACATTCTCAATGCAATGGGAACCCCGGGATCCATTATATGTTCTGAAATAAAAAATAGAGATCAATAATTAATCACAACAACAACAACATCAAAAACAATATTTATAAATTTTGTAGAGAGCAGAACCTTATACACTTAAAAATCAATCTCGAAAGGCTAGTTCAACAAGTTAGACTGAAAACTAAACATGTATACAGTCAAAATAAAGGCTGAATCCTGCTTGCCATAAAATTGAGGGAAACCTTGATTAAGCTTCAAAAATTGACGGGTTCCATAAGTTGGACCACCATTTTTTTAGGCTTTTGTTAACCAGATCACAATCATATATTTATAACCAAAGCTCCTCATTATTTTATTGAGCTTGTTGATAATATTTTACAACTATGTAAGATTACTATACCCTGCTTCTTCATTTCAATTTTCAACTTGCATTTCCTCAAGTTGTGACACAACTTTCTTCAAGCATTTCCTTCTGCTTATTTAAAGTGATTTTCAAACTGCGAGTGCAGGCAAATTATATCTTCACACTCACAAACTGCCAGATTCATGGCGCTTAAAGCCCGTAAAGTTAACTAATTCTAAAAAAAAAACAGAAAAAACAAAGGAAAATACAAACTCTGAAAATTCCTAAAAACTAGTACCATTGTTCCTTGAAAAAATTGTTTTTTGAAAGAAACTCTCAAGATTTTTTTTTAATCTTGGTATTCGATCTCAAGATCGACTGATCCAAAGGAACTGATCTCACCGTCCACTTACTAGGAACCCGTTAAAAGCCATTACAAAACTCTGTATAGACTTGACACAACCCAAGATTTGTTTACACCTAGCAAGACTCAAAACTTAACCACTTTGGCAACCACTAGGCCAACCCCAGAGGGTTAAGAAACTCTCAAGATTAATAGATAATCACAACAACAACAACAACAACAAAACAGTAAAAACAACAACCTCAGTGTATACATAGTGTATAGCAGAAACTCTAACAAACAAAATTCTCTAAAATTCAAACTTAGACCATCAAACAAAACTATCATGCAACAAAGTTCATTAAAAAAACACAAAATCAAGAAAAATCATTTTTTACAGAAAACTAAAACCCAATAGAAAGACTAACAGTGCACCTCAAAGAATTCAAACCCATGTAAGATTTCGATTCAAAAAAACAAACTTTAAGTCAAATTGATGTAAAGGGGACTTACGAACGGTGGAAGGGATATCAGTGGATGTGCATTGAGATTTCTTGAGTCTGTGATGAAGATGAGCAGCAATCCAAACAGTTGAAAGCCGCCCTTTTCGCGCCAAAAACGTCTGAGAATAAAACATCTTCCTTTTCTTCTTCTTTGTTGATGTTAATCTCAAGATGAGAATCGAATTTGGGAAATTGAGGAAGATTGAGGAAAAATGATGAAAATGAGTGAAGAGGATTTTAGGGTTATGTAGAAATTAGGGCTTTTATTTTAGGAAATAATTTGGCGCGCGATTTGGTGAAATAATTTGAAGTGCCGGTTTTATTTTTGAAGGAAGCGGTGTGTTGTCTTGTGTTGTGTTGGATTTGGTTTATGTAAAAACACCTTGGTTCATCTTATATTTACAATAATTGCCACTGTAGTATATATTTTAGGAATCTTCTAATCTTTGTTATCCACTAAATCATTAAATATTAGTTTAATTTAAAAAAAGGTTGAATATTTTTAAAAAATTAACAATTATAATTTTTTTCATCATCAGTATTGACTTAATGGATGGATTAATTTGGTTTGAGGGTTAATTTTAATATTAAATGAGTTCAATTTTGATATTAAATAATTTCAATTTTTTCTCGATTATAATTTCAAAAATTAAATTGTATTTTTCTTATCAGATTCAACGTTAATTAGTACTAAATTTACTAATAATTTGTACAATTGTGATAATTAATAATAAAATATCTATTAATTATGTCAATTAAGTTTACTTACAAATATAAATAGTGTTAAACTTGTACAAATAGTGTAAATTTTGTGTATTGCTCTTGTAAATATTTGTATAAATATTTTAAAAACTATACATAATTAAAAATGTTTTTCATTTATCTCTATAGTAAACAATTTCTATTTAAATATTGTCATTTTCCCAAAATGTGAAATGCCGCTTTTATTTGATGAGAAGTCGGGTGTGTTGGATACGCTTCTTTAGGCTTTAATGTTTTAGAGCAAAACATCTTGATTTATTCTAAATTTACAATATAGATGTTGTTATATTAATTAATGAGTATTTAATGTAGTAAATATAATTTTGTCAAAATAAATAAATAATATTTTGTAGAATATTGAAAATGGTCATTGGAAAAATATTTATGTTGTGATGTTACGATTTTTTGGTAACAGAAGATAGTACTTATAAAAAAGGTTAGCAATTTGACGCTAGTAAGAGTTTAAGGTGAATTTTTATAAATGTGTAAATGAATTGTATATGAGTGTGATTCAGGATGACACTTAAGAGGAATAGTTATAACTTTCTTCGAATTGTCTGGCATGAAAAGAGGATAGTTGTTGCACGAAGATCAATGGCTATATTCAAAGAAGAAGTATGCTCATGTGCGGCATTATGTGATGCATGTATACTGATACAAATATGTGGTGGACTCTTGAACAAAATTGGGTTTGTGTGGATTTAGTTGATCTTTATGGATTTGGCCAGCCCATAACATGTTCCCTCAAAGTCCTTGCTCTAAGTCATGAAGTGAGCATTGTTGTCGTAAAGTAAGGTCGGCTCATAAGTTTGAATCGATGTAACATTGTTTGTCGATAAATATTGTGTATTATGAATGTACTTCATGGTGGGTATGCTTGGAGGAGTAGATGACATTGGAAATGAGAAAATTAAATGCATTGTGTACATGTGAAATGTTTACGCTCCGAAATTCCCCACATGTCTCATGTGTGTATGGAAGGGAAATGATGCATCTAAACTCACTCGAGTGCTCTCAAGTGCAGTTTCGTAATCAATATGTCTTTTAAGTCGTTGGATTGAATGTTTCATCTTCTCGTGAATCATGATTGTTGACATTCGCGCTTAGTTTGCATATACAAGCGAGAGTTTTAACTTCATTCACTTGTTGACTTATTGTTTGCTTCAAAATTGTAATCAGAAATAGTGTTCTCTTGCTTCGTCTTCCTTTGGTTTCTTCAGACAGCCTGCATTAAACTCAAAGTAATCATTTTTTACTCGTTTATTCATATATGAGTGTTCATTTGTGTCCGCGCATAGAGAACCCAATAAACTCGTATGTAGGTATCTGTAATACGGTGGCAGAACCGACTGTTATACTGGTTTGCATTTTTTTATTCACAAATGTTGCGGTAAACAAGAGTCGCCACCGACTTTTATTTCATCCAACTAAAGAAAAGGAAAAAGAACAGAAAAAACCTTTTTCAAGATGTTTCTGAGTACGGGGGGTAGATTATAGAAAGGGAAGGTGTTAGCACCCTTTCTATCTGTGGTTTTCCACGGGCTCTTAGGTACTTGCTCATTTTGAAATTGCTTGTGTGTGTTTTGAAAAATTTATGTTTAACTTCGTGATAACCCTTGTATCTGTCCTCAAGAGTGTGACGAAGTTGTTTTTGAAAACTGTTTTGAAAGTGTTTGTGTAAAAGATTTTTTATTGTTTTGAGCAAGTACTTAAGATTTTCTACCTACTCGAAAAAAGATTGTTCGTTCACGTTTCCTTTAGACAGTGTTATCCTACTATTAAGGAGTAGGTAGCCCCATCGTTGGAGTTTTAAGGGACATTCGAAGGGACAAATACGGTCACAAAAGCAATAGTTAGGAAACTTTAGTAGTTACCCTAGAGTCTTAAAGATCTTTCCGAGGCAACATTCGAATGGGTCATTTTGATCTTTCGGGACTGGAGGACAACCACTAAAATTCCCTATGTTTCACGATCGTTTACCGAAGGCAACCGAAGTGAGGCAAAGCCTATGAGTGAACATGTGCATGTTTTATTTTTCATTTTATTTGTCTTTGCACAATTAGGGTTATCTACCTTTTAATCGTTGATTTATCTTTCGCATACAATCCTATTATCGATGCATCTAGGCAGTTTTATAGTTACGGAAATTAAAAAGTGCGAGAAATTAAAGTCCTAACTATTACAAGGCTTCTGGGCAGATACATAAATATTTGACTCAAAATAAAGATGCGGAAATTAAAACCCTAATTAAACTATTACAAATCGGGCGCAATTACATCAATATTGAAAAAGTATCGTACGGCAAAAATAATTCAGCGCGAGAATAAAGCTTGGAAAAAGTTTAAAACCCTAAAAAACCTAATTTGATCATTAAAATATTTTTGGATCTTTTTGTGAAAAAGATTTGAATTTAACCTAATTTTTAATTGATTTTAATTTAAAATAAAATAAAATTGAAGAAATTAATTTATTTACAAAAATTAATTTATTAAAAGAAAAGAACTAAATCCTATTTTTTGTGGCCTTTTTGATTTTATAATTTTATATAAAAAATGATTAATAAAAATAATTAAACTAATTTAAACAAAATAAAATAATAGAATTAAAGGAGAAATAAAAAAAAAGCTTGAGGGGGTGTAGGCCCAAATGAGAGTGATGTTGCTGGATTTATGCCAAGGCCCAGTCTGGTTGGCCCAATACAACGCTGAATCTGGTGTGTTGCGCTTGGAGCGTCCACCATGCGCCTGCATACTTGGGGCGTTGGATCTGGTTGCAGCTTGATCCAATGATGTTAACTTGGAGGCCCTATGGTGTGCGCGCATATGATGAAAGCATCTGATCTGTAATGAAATATTAAGACAAATATTATGTAAGAGGCAGGGATCGAACCCCTGACCTCATACACACGCGCCTTGCAAACCCTTTACTTGTACCACTGAGCCATTGTTTCATTCGTTAAATAATACAAACACAATAAATTATATTAAATGAAAAGTCAATGTAACAAGAAAACACGCGCCAAGTTCAAACTGGTCATTCACGTCTTGACACGCCTTCATCTTCTTCAAGGAAATTGTCGCTTTAGGTAAGGACCTTTACCTACGGACACAGGTTGTAACTATAACCCTGCAAATCTCAAAAATCAATACCAGGCAAGATAAATCAAATCCAAACATACAGATCAACTCGTTTTGATCTCGTGAGTACGATGGTATCCATCTTTTGCCCTGATTTTACCTGTATCAAAAAGCCCTAAAACGCAACCTTAAACCCTAATAATGGCAGTTATCCATACATGCGTCAAAACTAATAATTAATCATACAAATGCATTCTAAATGATGATACAAACATGAAGGTATGCTTAGAAATTGTTTATAATGCGTAAATTTGCATAACCAAATTCAAGAAAAGTGGCAAACCGTGATACTCGTGTAGAACGTTTTTGGGCGTGTTGAGACTTGATAATGGTCCCAATAGCTCCCAAATATTGCTAGGAGTTTATTGCTAGCCTTGAATCACCTTGAATTTCCCTCTAACGCAAAATCTGATTGCCTCTTTCTTTGTCAAAAGTTCAATTTTCTTCTCTCAATCCACACAGCAAAACCTCCTCCTTTAGCTCTGGGAATGTTGTGCATATATAGTATGATCAATAAAATTGGATTCAATCTTTGCAAATTTGTGAAAATATTGGATTTGTTTCTTGTATGATTTGTTTCTGAAATAAGCCAAATTATGATCTTTTTCAATCCAATTAGCCCTTGCACGAATTTGCTTGATTTACTAGTTGTTCATGGACTCATAATGTGCTCACAATCAGATCTGGGTTTTATTTCATTATTCTACTATTCAAATTAATTTATTTTGATTTAAATGAATAAAAAATCAAAATAAATAATAAAAAAAATAAAACAATTGGTGGATAAGCTCAGGGGTCGTGGGTCTTCTTAGGAACAAGTTTCAAACAAGAGAACATGGGCCCATTTGGAAAAAAAGTCATTTTGATCAATGTTGACTTCATGCACATTTCCAAAAATTGGTCAACTTTGACAATACATATCTCCATCAATTTTAACCCTAAGAGGGTTGTTGTACCCCAAAATTTACCCTCTCATTTATCAAGACTTTTCTCACAAGACTTCTTGGATTCAAGACAAGATTAGGGTTTGGTCAGCTCAAGACATCTCATCTTGCACTGATACCCCAGAATTAGGGTTTGAGTTTGCATAAGGATTTTTGGACCACTAATGCTTCATGTGACTTTCATACATCATTTTGGACCCCTATGATTGCTCATGTTAAGTTCCAAGCCTTGAACCACATTTTTTATCAGTCAATTGGACGTTGACCTAAAAATCAACTGTATTGGGGAAA